TCCTAGGACCGTGAACGAAGAACCATTGAATTGGAACAGCAGCAGAAATCAAAGCCGCCTCTAGGTTCAAAGCCCAAATTCTGCACGTTTGCCTTTGTCATCAACATCTAGGGAATTTAGGCACGAGAGTGGAGCAAAGGCGCACGGACCAAAGCATCTCGTTGGTGACCGTTGCGGTTTTGCGGGTGACGTGTTCTTTCTCCAGTTACAAACTAGGATCTGAATTGACACGCTGGAGCCCTGAGAAACAGCCCTGAAGCTACACTCTGAGCTGTGTACAGAGTGGTAACACGGCTGTCCCTTGTCTTCCGACATTTCTACATGACCTAAGCTGCTAGTCCTTTGTTGGATGCCTGCTGTCGACCCGTCCCGAGCCTTGGGGGACCAACCCGCAAGACAACACACAATTTCAAGGCTAGTCTAAACCCAAACCACCTTATCCCATAGAATCCCCACGCCGCCCTATACAGAATGACCTTGTGTAGGCCTCCTTCTTGGCATCCCTAGGAGAATCGAAGGTCTCACAGTACAAGCCGGCCTCCTCCATCAACGCCCTGGGACTGCTGTCTGCATTAAGGTTTTAGGTTTTAAGTTTTAGGGTATAGGGTTATAAGGATTTCGGACCCCAACCCTGAAAATCTAAGCCAAAAGAAAAGGCTGCAAATGGTAAGTCAAAAGTATGATCATGAGGACCCTATAGCTCATAGGGGTGATTTCAGGGGTCGAATGGTTTGTTCTTCAAATTACGGGCCCCTTTTGGTCATGGATGTTATTACGGCACCTCATAGTAAGGGGTACCAAAATGGGACCCTAATTGTGGCAACTACCGATATGACTCTCATGTGGCCCTCAAGTTTGAGAGTGTGCAATGTTATTAATTACTACCTAAAGCCTTAGCAGTAAACACTGCGCAGGCTTAGCCCACCCCTGGCTCTGTCAACACTCATGGGCTTCTGTAAGTTTGAGAGTTGGGTCCAGGAGGCTTTTCCAGACCCCCAAAAGGATCTAAAAATTAGATCCCCTAGAACCATAGGTGACAGTATATAAGGACTATATAGGGGTTATAAAGGGTCTATATAGGGGATCTAGTTTTTAGATCCTCGCAGGGGTCTGGGTTGGGGTTTGCCAAAGATTTACGGCTTAGAGTTTCAGGATTCTGGGCTTCGGTGCCGGGTTTGGGCTAAACGTTTCGGATCTAAGCTTGAGGATGAACCCCTCACCTTGATATGCCCCTCCACCCTAAACCCTAAACCTTGGCTACTGCCCCCCTCAGTAACAGTTGGATAATACTTATAATATGGTCATATATAGCCCTTAACAGGACCCCTAATATAGACTGTTACTGGGTGGGGGCAGTACCCAACCTAAACCCTTTGCAACCTTCTTGAGGCACGGGAGCACACCAGCAGAGAGCAAAGGAAGGCCTGCTACAAGCAATCTGCACCCTCCTCCCCAGCTTGGCTTGAGATTCTTTACCAGTCTATGTCGCCTCAAAAGGCCCTGTTTAGGGTTTAGGGTTTAGGATTTTAGGGTTTAGGGTTTAGGGTTTTAGGGTTTTAGGGTTTAGGGTTTAGGGGAGCCCTTTAAGCCCTAAACGATGTAGTGCACCAGTCCAAGACTCTGAAGACGATGCCGGGCTCTCCTAAATCACCATGAACACCCGAGAAAACAAGAACATGAGAAATTGGTTTCCCCAAATAAGTTGTACCTTTCTGGGGGGCCATATTGGGGTCCCTTAATTTGGGAAACTACCCATACAATGCCAGATGGAAACTAAGAAACTACCGGTGCTCTCCTAGTACCCAATATGGGGGTCAAATGGCCCCTAATAGCAACTACTTAAGCCTAAACAGAGGGTGGTTGGACAGTCTAGGTACTGTATCATTGAGGATCGTTTAGGGTTTCTACAGCGATTGCTTCCTCCCTTTCTTACTAACAACCAGCAAGATTAGGAAGATGCGAAGGTATGCTCAGAACCCATTCAATTCCCTCGATACAACCCTCAACCACATGCAAGGAAATCCTGAATCCTCGGCCTTAACTTCAGGCATCCACCCAAAAAGCTCAGATCATCAGAACATGTTCCGATTAACTGCATCGAGCTTCGTGGGAGCCATCCAAACAGCCATGCCATGCCATAGGCGAAAATTATGAGCTGCCCCCTTAGTTTGGGTACAGGGTGCGGCGTAAGTTCTGGAATTAAAGTAGAACCCTAAGGGTAAGTACCCAATAATCATATGCTTACCCAAAACCTGTACTACAATTCCTATTACCCAAAACCCAAGTACCTAATTCGCCGAGGCATCCAGCCTCAGGGCGTTCAGATCCCTTTAAAAACCCCCTCTACTCCCCCTTGCAGACACGGGCCGGACCTCAGCCCGCCCCCCCCATGGTGGGTGGCCTAGTCCAGCGTGACCATCCCAGAGGCCCCTGGAGGCTCCTGGAAGCTCCTGGACCCTGGCTTGGAGGCCCCAAAAAACGATGCCTGGAGCCCTCTGAGGTTCGTGGAGCAAGCCCCTGAAGGCCCCTCTGGAGGGCCTGGAAGCGCCTGGAAACCAATTAGATGCATGGATGAAGCTGAGGAACCTCTACAGACCCTAATATATACTATGGCTTACAATATATCCTGTGTCTTATTTCTGGGTTTCGCGTTTTGGGTACACTTAATTGAGATTTGCGGTGGATTATGACAAGAGCATTTTTGCGAGATACGAGGAGTTTTAGCTACCGTTCTGTGGCTAGACCCCAATATACATTTAGACTATTGGTCAAGTGCTTGTGGACACCAGAAGGTTTTCAGGCTCCGAATGCTATACACTAAACACTATTTTGGACCTAAGGCAATTAACTTTGGGAATTGGTAAACTC